TAAGTGGGTTCGGGCAAACCCTCTCTATGTGATGAAACATTTAAAAAAAATGTTCTACAGTTGGCCGATTCAAATAGGCCTGCCTACTTTTATATCCAAATTTTTGGTCATCTATAGGTGCCATAATTATTAATTGTCTTACCCCAGCCCTCAACCATGGTGGTCTAGACCCATAATTTGTGGGCCCCTCCAATTTTGAATTCCAGCATGATCTGCATGAACCTTGAATTTTGAAGAATTTAAGTCATTAAAAGGCCCCTCAGAAGTTGGGAATGCTCATTTCCAGCAATCTAGGTATCCAAATTTCCTGGGGTATAGGCCCAGACCCTTTTCTTTTGATTTTTTTTGTTTTTTGGCAAAGACTTTGAGCCCATTGCTTCAAATCCTGGATCCTCCCCGGGATGATAAACCCTTATGGAATGCCGAAATATAATTTCTAACTGTTATTGGACTTTGTTGAACAATCCTTACCGATCCAACCAGTTATACATCTGCAGCGGATAAACTCCATGTTCTGCCATTTCCAAAGTGCCTCTTTTGGTGTCTTTCTAACTTTTGAATCATTCAGAAGACACCTGCCATAACCTGAGCACATCTCACGACTGCAACCCTCCGCTTGAGTCTTTGTGTTGAGCAATGTTGGTCCGTAAATTGACGCAAGCAGTTGTTTTAGATGAAGGCAGGATGCATTGTTATTGAGGGAGGTGAAACTACCCCAAATAACGATACCATCAAATGATAGGGATGCTGCTTTTCTCATACTCATCTGTATATCACCCTGAAAAAAGATAATTTAATCATGGGCAATATAATTTTGTAGTTTGCTGTCCTCCTTTTTGAAAATGTAGCAATTTGCCTGATGCTGTGAAATGATCTTTTACGATTGACCACTAAATTTAGTGCGACGCCACTGCGATTTTCAAAAATTAAAAAATCGTGCTCAGTCGTAGCAAAAATTCTGAATGTGAGAAAAGGGCATTACAGAGATAAATTTTGATTAAGTTTCTATTAAACAATTGGGCTACATACAGTAGCCAATTGTTTAATGAACCTTCAGGAGATATGTTTCTCAGGAGGATGGTTGAGGTGTGCTTTTCGAAGCGTCGGGAGGTTCTAGGCTTTGTTCTCGTAGTTGTCTACATGTCTAATTGGAATTCTCCATACTGTAGCACTACTGCTTGGTGGAACTTGAAATATGTCATATTTAATTTTGTGAAGTCCACGTTGAAAATCCTTGCATGCCATACAGTAGATGAATGGATTCATGGTGAGATTTAACTCCATAAACAACATACTCAACTCATAAAATATATAATATGTATAACTTAAATTAAGGAAGTAAATTAATAGAAAAACACTGCATGGAGTTATTGTAAGAAAATAAAGAAAAGCGATTAGGATGAGTGTAGTCAACAGATCTGACTTGACTTGATAACCTCGTCCACCATTCTTGGGTTGAGATTCAGATGACGGTTGCTGGCCAACCTGTCGTGTCTTGTGTAATTTCAACAGCATTCGCACGTAGCAGTACAGCATCACGGAAATGGGTACAAGCCAGTCAATGATGATTATTAGTGTACCAGCTAGAGGGTCTATCTCTTTAGATGTACACTCACTCACATTTGGGTCTTTCTCCACTTCAAGAGGAATAGATATCGTTATAGTTATTCCCAATAAATGGGGGATAATGAGTGACAGGTATTTCATTTTCCCACCCAAGGATTTCTGGCGATACAATATCGGATAAATGACAGCAATATATCGTTCAATTGTAAGCATGACAAAATTGAATGTTGATGCCACTGCCATGTACAAGAAGAGAAATTCCATTTTACAGAATATGGTTCCACCAATGCCTTCAGGAACATCCATGTTGTGGAAGATCAAAAACATCAGAGAGCCCATCAAATCAATCACTGTCTGGTGGAGAAGTAATTTGAACGACAGAGACTTCTTGTAAGTCTTATTGTAGACAAACACAAATATGACAATGCTGTTTGCAACAACTCCAATACCAGCCAATACCCAACGGACTATGACTAGCGCGAAGGGATATTGCAGTTCTATGTGAGCTGTGTCATTCGTTCGTACATCCATACTTTCCTTACAATTCCTCAACACTGGCAAAGTAGCAGTATTTGTAAAATGTTTGTTGTATATATAAAAAAAAATTCCAGAAGGGTGGTAGTTGTAATACAGAAATATTTCTCTGACAATGTTCACCTGTTCAATTGTTCACCTCAACCAAAAGACTCCTGAGTATGATGTGGTATTACAAAGAATAAATCTATCGTTTTATCCATGTTTGGGCCATTAGGGATTTTCAGTAATTGTAGGAGTATTCAGTATCTGTAATTGCTTTAATAAACCCTTTTTTCATGCATAAACCAATTCCCGCAAATTATCGTACTTTAAATTGGACTGATATTATTGCTGTAATAGGTCGTAATTATCCGGCCAAATTAGTTACCTCACGCCGAGTGTGACTGTGAATGTTAATTGCTGCTTGAAATATGGGGATTAGAGGTCGGCTATGGAAGATAATGATGTACTGTACAGGATAAAGCAAGTTTTGGTAATAGACTTATTAGGTTGATATTAAAAAATTTTTTTTTTACTAGCTAATGATGAATTTAGTATTGACCTTCGCAAAAACACGGAAATAAGATTTTAATCATGACAAGTGAATATTCTCACTGTTGGCCAGTGTGTAAATGATGTTAGAGTACTCATTTTACGCTACACAGCGATAGCATAGTCTCCCTGCGATGCAAAATTTTCCTATAAAATAAAATGTTAAAAAGTCATTTTTTTTTATTTTAAATGTATGATTAGGCTACCGTAGGCTTGTAGCAAGCCTAGTCTGAGTTAATTATTTGAATTGGCTAGCTATTACTATTATTATTAGGCTGAATACAGCTCATATCTATGCCAACTCATACAACTCGTACCTAAATTTTGGCTGACTCGTACCAATAATTTTGGTTGGCTCGTTCCGATAGTTTGCTAGCCCATACCCAAGTTTTTTGTCAGATGTACTTTTGTATTTAAAACATTATTAAAGACAATTTTACCAATTAGAAGATTTTGAAAGATATTTTTTGCATTATAGACATATTATGATAGTCGTTATTTTTTGTATTGTTATAGAGTCATCTTGCATTCTGCAAAGTCTAAAACCAATTGGATTTACCAACCTTTAGTAATTGGGTAAGAAACAACTTACTACCAACAGTGACGACAACATAAAGAACTGGGCCAAATACAGTAGCTCCCCACAGCTTTCAAGGGTGGATCCAGAGGATGTCCGAAAAGAGGGGGGACGATCGAGCAGAGACAACACTACCCTAGGGGGTCTGGGGGAAAAAAGAAAAAAAGAAAGCAAAAGAAAAAATTGTTATTTTCGGGCCTCTAGAAAACAAAAATTTCACGAGGGCATGCCCCCGGAACCCTTAGGACAGTGCTGCATTGATCGGCCCCCACTTATGGTCCCCCTCTTTCATCTCTGGATCTGCCCCTGTATACACAAAAGTATTTACCTTTTGCTCCGACTTGTATTTGTGCATAATTTGAATTCTTATTCTTAAGTAACAGTTTTAAAAGTATACCTACTATGTTGTAATAGAAGCTAGAATGAGAGTAGTTGAAACGATTATACACGTAAACTGGTTTTCCTGGTTCCTCCAAAGTTTCCAGTACTCGAAGAGTCTCTTGTAGCCTGGCTTCTACAAAATGATAGTTATCTTCAACGTACGGGCGGAGGTATATGGATGGGAAGAGGGCGCTGCTTTCATCAAACAACCACATCATTTTATCGTTGCTTTCAATGTTACTTAGTGCACAGGCATAATCTGTCGTTTTGTTTTTATTATCACAGTATGGATAATGATAGAAGCCCCATGTTGCCTTAGGCCGAAGCTTTTTCCCAAGATGCAACACCCCTTGCATCAAGCCCTGTGCTGCCTCTTCAAATTCAACAGTGGCTACTGTCTCAATGGTCCCATTGTCCCAGTGTGGGTGACGCTGTTTGACCACTTTCATCGATGCCGCTTTGTAAGATGTTCGGACACCAGCGTTCTGGTCCAAGTGAGGGCGCCACTTTTCCCAGTCAACGACTGCTAGTCCATTGAACTCTGGGCTTGGTATGTAGTGCTTGATATCCTGGGTTGCTTTCTCTAAATATATGTTTAGGATATTTGCCTGTAATAAAATAAAATAAATACATATTATTATTTAACACTACTTCTAGGCTTTTCAAGTGTTAAATCAAGCCACAGTATTCGACCAGTTAGAATGGTGTGGGTGGGTGGGGCTCTTCAGAAAAATTAATTATTCTTGTGCCACGTGGTGTATCTAAGAGTCTTGAAATGGCGGGGGTGGGGGGAGCGCTGATTAGGGGAGTGCTGATTAGGGGAGCGAAGGAGGAGTGGGGTTGGGATTAAGTGAGATGGTGTTAGCTCACAAAATAAGGTGATATGCAGTGATTTTTACTACTTGAGCATGATTTTTTTGTTTTGGACATCTTTAATTAGTTTCAACTTGCACCTCTTCAGTTCACATTTCTTTTAATAGAAATGTCATAAATAGCGTAATCTGTTTTAAAAACATTAAAATCTGAGCATTAGGGGAATCAACCCCTGCCCTGTCATGGACTCATCTGTGCGATATTCAGGGTGAGCTTTGGATCCACCCCAGGACATGATAATACAGATAATGACAGGATCATGGTGGTGGTGGTGGTGGTGGTGATGATGTTGATGATGATACGCAGCTGAAATAATGATCAATGAGGGTATTTAACAGTAAAGAAGGCGATCATCGGAGGACAGTGATGAGAATGATGATTATGATTAATGGTGATGGTAATGATGATGATGATCTATTTATTATTTATTTATATATTCTTTCTTCATACCGTAGTCACTTTCAGAGTTACTATTGCACTGATTTTCAAAATGGTACAGTTTAAACATAACAAAAATATATACAATTTATACAATATATAGAAATGATAAATGATGATTGATGACGATGGTGATAATGATGACAGTGATGGTAATTGATAATGATGACAGTAATGGCGATTGATGATAATGATGGTGATAATGATGACAGTGATGGTGATTGATGATGATGATGATGATGGTGACAGTGATGATGATTGATGATGATGGTGATAATGATGACAGTGATGGTGATTGATGATGATGATGATGGTGATAATGATGACAGTGATGATGATTGATAATGATGGTGATAATGACAGTGATGATGATGATGATTGATGGTGACGATTAATGATGATGACAGTGATGATGATCAGTGGCGGCTCTATGATATATTTTCTGGGGGGGGGGGGGGGGCTAAACTGTCCGAAGCGGGACTTCAGCTCGTAGACCCAAGCTAGGGGAAGGGGTTGAGAAGGGGGTTCTCAAATGAGATTTTTTTAAGAATAGCAACCTGGATGGCCGGAAATGGCACTCTCAGACTGTTACAGACATGTGTTGGCTTGGTGTGGGCCTATTTTTATATGTTTTATGGTCTGACTGCCGACGAGCTCTGTCCAATGGGTGGGGGGAGCCTTAATCCCCCTGTCCTCTCGCTGCCACTGATGATGATGGTGACAACGATGATGAGATATGATTACTGGTTGACTGAGGTGGTGGTGTAATGAATCAATGATTATGATTGAATATTAATGATGATAATGATGGTGACAGATGTGGAAGTATACCTATATAGAGCTAATTAATATTTACACCAGGGCACTGGTATATTATACAATTATTAATGGGTTGAGAGGGATGGTTCAAATAATAGACCGAGGTGATCTGAAGGCTGTACTATGTCCCTCGACTTCACCTTGGGACGTACAACCTCCAGATCACCTCGAGCTATAAGTTGAGCTGTACCCGAATTTTTCCACCCGTTGGACAAGTCTCGACCCCCCTGTCGTATGACGGACGACTAGGTCGTCGGGACGACAGTGTCGTTTAATAAAAATTTAAAAAATTAATAATTTGCCTATCTCAATAACGCTATTTTGATTGCCAATACCTTTGTGGTCTAAAAGCTCATTTAGGACCAAATTAAGCAATAAAAACTTTCCCCATGAAACCTAACACTGAAAAGGGATTTTTTATATTCCTGGCCATTGACCGAGGCTTCATCGTCGCCTTGGTTCGGACCAGCCCTCTGTCGGACACCTTGAAGGTATAAGAAAGCATTTCAGTGTAGGCCACGATAGCAATTTTACAACACTGAAGTGGAACACTTAATTAACTTACCTGTGGCAGCCCGCCGTTCACAAACACACCGGTGTCATCATCAATGTATGGATAATTAAAATCGTTTCTATGAAAAGCAGTGAAAGCCTCACCGTGTTCATTAGAGGTGTCCTGGTTTGCTGATATTCCCCACTTTTCTAGCCCCAGGTCTATGCCTAGATTTGAGCAATTACAAGCAAGACCCCAGAATATTTTATATGTAAAATTGTCTTGTTTAACTTGTTGATCAGGCTTTGTGAAAACGTTATCCCACGGCTTAGAGTTAGCCGATTTTACTACCGTCCGGTGACTGTCTGGCTGGCCTCTGCCTTGGATCCTAGGGCTACCACCGAGTGCAACACTGACAAAAGTGAATGATTCTAAAATCGCGAAGAGCCAACATATAGTAATTATTGGATCTCCCATTCTTTCTTTTCTTGCTGTATAGCCAGGTTAAAAGACTAATTAAGAGAAAATTGGGAAAACTTAACACCACCCCATAACGCAACCGAACTTAATTAGCTCATCTATCTAGAGCTATACCAAATCAAAGAGTATAAAACTCCAAGAGGTCGTACCTCTTGCAGTTTTATACACTTTGACCAAATCTACACCAATCTACGCTTAACATAAACATAGAGGGCAGCAAAGTACATTTTAACATCTTCAGTATTGTAAAAAGTACATCTCCGTTGTATTTAATTTAGTAATAAAATACATAAATACGATATACAAAAAATAGACAAGATAAAAAATTGCATAAAAACATGATTACAAGGAAAATCCCAAAAAGCAAAACTTATTTCCATTGGGGTCCTTCCAAACACAGAAATAACATATGCACATTCTATCATGACAAAAAACAAACAGAGAAATATAAAATTAATAAAAACAGGTGAAAAAAGGCAACAATAAAAATATTAAAACATTGTTGATCAATCTAAAAAGCTAGCAGTAAAAATACAAATTAAAAAAAGAGTTAAAAAGCAATAAAAATTTCAGTATTACAGCACTTTGAAAATAAGTATTTAGTTATTTATTGAAATTTTTTTACATAATAAAAAGTTAAAATTCGTATCATTATCGAAGCCGTCATTATCATCACCATCATCATCATTGATATCGTCATCATTATCATTCGTCGTCATCATTATCGACATCATCATTATCATCATCATCAATGTCATCTTCACCATCATCGTCATTATTATTAGGTGAGACGGGTTGGCATCATACGTCACCACCACAGCAAACGCGCGCTGACTTCTATTGTAATTAAACCTGGCTGGGACGGACAAGTTATTGAATTTGCAAGATGTACCGACGTAAACATAAACAGAAACGATTACATAATGTCATATAATAGACCTATAAGAGGTCCGACTGCACTGATTTTGTATGCGCGCAATGAAACGTTTAAAAAGTTACTACCACGAGATAGGGGGGGGCGAACTATTTACGAACACCGTCAACGTTTACGTTTTTGAAGGACGCCCTCTAGTCCCTGATAGCACTTTTGAGATGATGACGTAAATGATGATAATGGTGACGAGGATGATGATGAAGATGATAGTGATGACAATGAGGATGGTTTGAGGATTGGTGACGGTGGTGATCATGATGGTGTAATGATGATAATGAAGATTATGGTGATGTGATGGTGATGATACAGCGGCGGCGATGACGACACTGGCGACGATGATGATGTAAAATTAAAAAAAAAAAAATTAACGAACGCACACAATCTTGAAAATCACCAACATCAATCACATTAGCGCCCTCTAAAGTACTCTCTTTATTGCAAATAAATCCACTTTCGTACTTTTTTCATATTTCCTCTCCCGTATATGCTAGCTTATTTATAATTAGCAACAAACCATTATGACATTTGACCTATGCCTACAATTGTATTGTTAAGGTCTATGCAGTAGGCCTGCCTGACTTTCATCCCCCAATCTTTGTGTAGCAACTTTAGTTATAGGCTAGTAAGATTATTGTAATGTAATGTAGTTCGATTTATATAGCGCTTAACTTTATACCGGGGTCTCTTATATAAGGGTCTCTTCATGTCTGAGCTACCCGGTAAGGTACCAGCTACTCTCGTCTGTCCACAACAGGAGCTGTATGAACCAACCATACACAGAGGTAACCCCCTGCTCGTCTCGAAAAATGTTCTATTTCTAGTTGTCCTGTGACCTGGTAGATAGTATGGGCATATATTATGCCGAGGAACAATGCACCAGATTCCTCCATGCCTGTCGGTCCCTGGATATATATATGGAGTTGACAGTGTGACACACCTGACCATTTCCTGATGTCATCTCCTTCTTTCGCCTTCAACGGAGCGCGCCTTGGATGATGGTGTAGGGAAGAATCAGTGTTGTTCTTGTCTTTGTTGTGTAATATATTGTAAAGCGCTAGTGAAGACTTCAGTTTAACCGGCGCTATAGAAATTAAAAAATCTATCTATCTATTTATAACTATAACGGAAACGAACTTTGGAATAGAACGTACCGCAAAATTGCCAGAATAGTGTTCAATGGTACTAGAGTGGATATGAATAATTTTAAAGCGAGGTTAAACAGTAGCTTTGATTAGACATACTACCAGACACTCTTCAGATAAAAAGCCTTACTTTATAAATAAAAGTTTTATTTATTTAACTATATAACTGTATACCTACATAGCTATATAACTACATAACTACATAACTATAATAAGTATATAATTATTTAACTAGGCGCGCATATATAACAATATAAATAATGGTTGTCGCTTCTATGTAGACCTATCAACTATTTTTGTTAGCACTATTTACTTTAAAGCCCCATTCCCGGCAAAATTTCAATTTTTAAAAAAAATCTAATTTTTGTATAATGTTATAAATATTTATAAATATAATACGGAATTGCTAGTTTAACTGAATTTAGACATTCCTAAGAATGAAAAAAATGTAAAATAAGACTGAAATTTGATTTTTTTGTGTTCCACACAAAAAATAAATGCGGATGAATTTTCATGTTTGATTTTGCGACAGGTCGTGAGAAGAAATATTGTAGGCGCCGAAAACATTAGCCTATCCAACGCTGCTAGGCTAGGCCTAGCCTTACCTTATTATTCTTATTCTTGTTCTTTTATTTCCAATTAAAACAGACAAAACACATAAAATCAACTGGGTGAGCTGGATGGAAACACTAAAGCGAACTTAATCACTGTGACTAATGTCAGTGTTTCCCACTCACCCAGTTTCACATAAAATAAATACTATATACAAGATAAACATATAAAATATTAAAAAATATATCAAAATCTATAACATAGAAAACTTTATCTAAAAAAAGGGGGGGGTGGAGGAACAAAAAAAAGGAAATCGCAATGGTGAAATCGCAATGGTGTATTTTAAAACAGACTTTTTCTCAGTTTAACAAGGAAAGTAGGGAAAGGATAAACAAGAAATGAGTCTTTAATTTCATCTCTCTATTTAGGTTCTGTTATCACACATAAAAACGGCCGACATGGTATTTTCCGTTGCTAGTAATGACACTTGTGTAATATAATATTTCATAGGAATTATTTCAAATTTGTTAAAAAACTGATTCTGACTGAGATTTTGACACTTAAACAAACATATCTCAACCTAACCGAACGAACGCATTGCGCGAGATGCGAAGTACAAAAACTAATCTTACTAGAGAGGGCGCACTTTATTGACTGTATAAAGTATACATAAAAGCGAGAGTATTCCAGTGGATGCGATCTACAACCTCTGAATTTGCCTAGTAACGATGAATTCGTCGAGAAAATGGTAATATTTTATGAGAAATACCGTAGTCTGTATTTCTCATTTTTTTTAAAT